CCTGTGGTCCCAGCTACTTGGGAGGCAGAGGCAGAAGACTCGCTTGAGCCCAGGAGTTGGAGGTTGCTATGAGCTGAGATGCCACGGCACTCTACCCAGGGGGACAGCTTGAGGCTCCTCTCAAAAAAAAAAAAAAAATGGTGCTGGGCTAACTGGATGGCGACCTGTAGAAGACTGAAACTAGACCCCCACTTTTCACCATTAACTAAGATAGACTCTCACTGGATTAAAGATTTAAACTTAAGCATGAAACTGAAAATACTAGAAGAAAGTGTAGGGAAAACACTTGAAGAAATCGCCTTGGGCAAAAATTTTATGAAGACCCCCTCGGGCAATTGAAGCAACATCAAAAATGCACTTCTGGGACCTGATCAAACTAAAAAGCTTCTGCACAGCCAAGAAGGCAGTAAATAAAGCAAGTACACAGCCCTCAGAATGGGAGAAGATATTTTCTGGTTATGTCTCTGACAAAGGTTTAATAACCAGAATCCACAGAGAACTCAAATGTATTAGCAAGAAAAAAACAAGTGATCCCATCTCAGGGTGGGCAAGGGACTTGAAGAGAAATTTCTCTAAAGAAGATAGGCGCATGGCCTACAGATATATGAAAAAATGCTCACCACCCTTAATCATCAGAGAAATGCAAATCAAAACTACTTTGAGGTATCACCTAACCCCAGTAAGATTAGCCCGTATCACAAAATCCCAAAACCAGAGATGTTGGCGTGGCTGTGGAGAAAAAGAGACACTTCTACACTGCTGGTGGGAAATTACTGCAAATTACACTGCAAATTAATTCGTTCCTTTTGGAAAGACATCTGGAGAACACTTGGAGAACTAAAAATAGACCTGCCATTTGATCCTGCAATTCCTTTATTAGGTATATATCCAGAAGACCAAAAATCACACTACAACAAAGATATCTGTATCAGAATATTTCTTGCAGCCCAATTCATACTTGCTAGGTCATGGAAGAAGCCCAAGTGCCCATCAACCCATGAATGGATCAATAAATTGTGGTATATGTACACTATGGAATATTATGCAGCCCTAAAGAAAGATGGAGACTTTACCTCCTTCATGTTTAC